GTGAAAACCATATCAAGATCATTTTTAAGAATGGTAATGTTTTAATTTTTGATTTCATAACAGGTGCAAATAATTTTGATAAGAATTCCTTTAAAAAGAATACTAGTTAACAGCCCCTTTACCAAACAACGGTCATGTGAAATGTTGGTTTTTGCAATTCTCCACCTTGAACCAAAGATCCTTCCATTCATCTACCGTATCAGCATTTCTATCATAGTCCCAGAGTGGTGCTAGGGGCCCAGAACGGTGCATAAAAAGTTGAGGATTTGAAAACACTTTAGAGCTGACAGCGGAAAAGGAAATTCAGCACTCGGAGAATAAAGCCCCCCGCAGGAACTCCAGGAACAACCCAGCTGTTGTACTGTAGTTATGTGTCAAGATAACAAACAGAGAGCAGGAAATGCTAACCTAGTGAATTCGCAGGGATGGTCTAAGTGTAATGTTGAAATACAAGTTAACTCTTAATATTACCTAAGGACATACTTCCCTTATCATACATAGGCCACATATATGTGGAGATATACACACACACTACATACACACACATATATATGCATACACACAAACACATATATGTAATACAAACATGGTTTGCAACCCATTATTGAAAATTGTTTTTGTTTAAATATTCATTCTTTTGAGAGCATACATTTTACAAAGAAAATGTTATGAACAAAGCAAGGAAAATGGTTGAGGTGAGTGTTATGCAAATTAAATAACATGGATAAAATGAGAGCTATTACCCCCCCCAACTTTTTTTTCTTTTTTTTTTTCCTTCCCTCTCCTGACCAACCAGATCCAAATAACCTTTACTGGCTGCTAAATTTCTCTTGAGAAATCAAGCAACTCTCTAGAATTGCAGTAATAAACGACAATTTCTTAGAAAAACATGTGTAAAGTAACTACAGAATGAAGTATTCAATCCATAGAAAGGAACTGCTAACACATGTAACATGGAAAATAGCTGATAAAAGTCTCTTTGGTGCCATTCAATTATGGCATCCGCAGAAACACAAAAATCCTTCCAATTATTTTAGTAAAATCCTCATTTATTCATTATTTCAGAGGCTGAGCAAATGGTTTGTGTAAACATATCCTTCGGTAACACGCACATGTTTATTTTAGCCATCTGAAGACTTCTTCTATGTTTATATAAGCCATCAGACACATACAACCACTCACTTGTGGCTTTGCGTTTTCTTGAAAGGGGTAAAGGGGGAGAAGAGAGAATGAAACAATAAATTCAGTTTCTCTTTTGCATAAAGCACTCCCTCTAATGTTTTAAAATAGCTTATGTTTATATTATTCTTGGATTGTCCTTCGGCTTTCTTTTTCATTCAATTATATTGATCTTTCATATCTGATAGTACAGGCTGTATTCTATCACTTTAAGAAAGACAGCCAGTCAGGGAGTAACTGCTGTACATGTTTATGTCCACATAACTCATATATACAACAAGGTAATTTGTCCACATGAGACAAAGCACAAACACAACAGTACCTACCTTAAGCAATTCATCATCTATCATCCTCCTAAGATCTTGAGCCCATTCTGACTATACTAGAAGGGAGCCCTTCATGAAACCAGTATTTTACTCTGGGTTAACTGCAGTTACCTGACCTTTCACTTAGGCAGAAAAATTGACTCTCTCAAGGTGCAAGCAACTCCTACGCGTGTGCGTACACACACACACACACACAGAGAGTTCACAAAACAGTTCACAAAATTTTAAGGTCAAAACAACAAAACACCTTCAGGGTTGTAACCTAATAAGGCTGTGAAAACTTTTCCAAAGAGTCAGCTTTGGTTCCTAAGGGAACGCTTAGGCCTTGGGGTTGGGGGTGGGTGGAGGAAATCTTCCAGCTTTGATTATACTTGCACAGCTCCCTTGGCACTGCCATTTTCAGGTCCAACAAGAGCTGCGTTTGACATGGAAACACCTCAACAGGGCAATTAGTATAAAGCAGAAAAGAAGGTGACTATGGAAAAGTGATTGTACAAAGAAATTAATGACAGCAAACAACAATCAATCAAAATAAAGCAAAACCAAAACACCCGTTTTGCTCTGTCCTGTTCTACTACAGTCTCCACGGATTGCCTTTTGTTAAAAGGCAACTACCACAACAAAAATAACCTGTGATATTTTATTTATTCCATCGTGACAAAGGCAAATTATTTAATTCTTTGGATGAATAGACCTATATTTCTTAAATATTTTCAACTTATTCAGATGATTCTAAAGCTATAGCTATGCCCTGAAGATTTTAGATGTCTATTATCTCCCTTAAAAGTGCTAGTGTTACAGACATTTATGACTTCTTTTTTCAAAATTCTTTCAAAAAAAGTTTTAAAAATAAACACAGGTCATAAATTCTAAATGATGAATAAAGCTGTCATGCCACAGACAAGGGCATTTGTATTACTAAATATGAACTCTGTTGTGTCCATTTTTGAAAACTGTAACAAAGCAAAGCAAACTGTGTCATTTGAATTTATTCATTCTGAACTGCATCACACCTAGATTTTAAGAACTGTGAGCATTTCAATCACCACAGCATTTATCACAGCCCATAGATTCAATAATACCTGTTGAATGTAGAATGTGATGGCTGCTATTATCAATTATGTGCTTTCTGAATCAGGATAGAAAGAGAAGACACAAACCAAGATACTGGCTGGGTGTGGTGGCTCACGCCTGTAATCTCAGTACTTTGGGAGGCCGAGGCGAGCAGATCACTTGAAGTCAGGAGTTTCAGACCAGCCTGGCCAACATGGTGAAATCCGATGTGTACTAAAAATACAAAAGTTAGCCAGGCGTGGTAGTGCACGCCTGTAATCCCAGCTACTCTGGTAGCTGAGGCATAAGAATCACTTGAACCTGGGAAGCAGAGGTTGCAGTGAGCCAAGATCGTGCCACTGCACTCCAGCCTGGGTGAGGAAGTGAGACTGTCTAAAAAATAAAAAACAAAAACAAAAAAACCAAGATACCTTTTAAAGAGCTTTTGGAATCATTAAGACCATTCTACATGTCATTACCTACTAATCAAAAGAAAAGTTACTATTTTTGAGAGGGAAGAAAAATTTTACCTAAATTAATTCTGAATTTTTTTCTGACTATGACCTGAAACTGATTACCACATCAATTTTTCGCCAGGAAGGGGATTTGTAACAGCAACAATACTGCCCTAAGAACTGAGTTTAATCATCAGATTCACTTCCTCCAATACATATGTTCTGAGATTTATTGCCCACTCACCTTCTCTTTCCATGGGCTATCAATTTTTTATTCAAAAAATTACTAGTAACTAGGTAAAGGTATATTTTAAATCCCCAACAATTTACAAACATGCTTTAGAGGTGCTATCCTATTTTTAGATTTAGTAAGCCAATCAATATTCCATAGATTTGGAAGTTCACACAGCTATAGGGGCATTTACAAACATGAGTGCATGTCATCTGGCTTGTAATTCTTGTAAATATGGTAAGTTTGTATGCAGACATGAGCCATTTTGTTAACTGACAGAGCATGAAATATAAGAGAGTTATTAGATAAAATATGGAAATATTAGGTTATTAAATTCAATTAACTTTTATTAAATAAAATATGGAAAATTAGGTTATTAAACTCAATTCAATTAACTTTAAAATGTATATTAATTTGGAATATTTTAATGAGACACTTTCATTTAATTTAATTAAGACTATTAATCGTTAAGGCTATTTGGATAAGATGCCTACATTGAGTTTATCTTCTTTTTATAAGCATACATTGTATTATTTTCAAAAGGGATGATGAATACAATCTTGTTGAAAAAATCACAAACTGTATCCCTTTATAAAAGTGGACGTTATATCAATCTTCAAGAAGAAAAGTCACATGGTATTCAATTCAGTAGTGAATTAATAAAAAGTCATTGTTTTTAAAAACACAATCTTAATTATTTCCTTAATTTTTATCAGAATTAAAGTAGACATTTAATTATTTTGATTCTTTAAAATTTACTCTTCGGCAATTTCTGTGAACCAATACAGAGATGGGTAGACGATCTACAACTCTATCTGAGTATATACCTTTCTATAGACACTTTCCATAAATGGAGGATTACAATCAGAGCAGGGCTGGAAAATTATGTCGACTCTACTTGGTGAACTCCTTCTGGGATTACCTCACTCTTTTCTGCCAATGTTTATTTCTTATTACTTATGATTATACCATGAATCTAATTATTTAATTTGTCAATTTGACACAATTTGTTCTTAAATAAAATAAATAATAACATAAGAAGCAGACTTTGAACTACTTAGTTTCTAAAGGCAATGCATGAAACAATATCAGAACTGGTTTTGAAAATGAAGTTTTAGAATAGCTTTCTCAGCCAACCAAATAAAGTCAATCTTCCATGAATCACAGCAGTATACAAACAGAAATTAAAACTTTAACAAATTCCTTCTTCAGCTACTGATTCCAACAATCTTCCTACTCCAAAATTTATGGGTGCTGTCAATAACAGTTAAATTGACTAACCAAATTTTTTTTTACTAGTTTTTCCCTACAACAGGGGAAAAAATGAATAGTGAAATGGCTTAGAATTAGCAGTAGGGGAAAGAGTCAAAATAAGAAAAATCTACAACGTGAAAACCAATGCTTTATCCTCAGGTAGCTGAAAAATCTTCGCTAAAGCTGTGATTTCACTTTTCAGGTCCTAAAATCTAAATGTCACATTCCACCCCCTCCCCGACCAAAAATATTATAAATTGTAGAAAACATTTTATAGCATTTAAAAATTCCAATGATCAGTAAGCATATACTATAGTCCCAACTTAATTTGATGTTCCATTTACATAAGAAATAGAGGAGGAGGACAGGGAAAGAAGAATGGCATAGCCAAAACAACTAAATTTTCAACATATATTTTCTGTAAAGCTGGTTAAAAACAAACACTATAGCTCATGTAATTTTTAGGTGTAAGTGTAGGGTTGGAAATAATTAAAATGTTACCTTTGCCAAGTAATTCCCAATGTATCCTCACTGGTACTGGGGTATAAATGCCTGCCGTTTTGATTCATGGTCCAGTCACAAATCCTCAGCTGTCAATTGAAACCTAGCAGTCAGATATGGATCGAGCAGTACTACAGTTTTTAGTATTTAAATGAACACATGCAAACTAGTACTGTACATGGCATTAACCTTACTTTCCCAAGAGGCAACTTAAAGAAAAAAAAAAAAGCAAAAGAAAATCTTATTCTTGAAAAGCAAAATTCCTAGACTCTTTTTTAGAAAAAGCTATTGCAATATGCTTCTCTATTAATTAAAGCATACAAGAGAAACAAGTGCTTAGAACATAACAATTAGCCATTATTAGAGTACAAATTGAGCTGGAATAAAAGCAAACGTTAATGTTCAATAGAGAGATATATTTTAGAAAGAAAATAAAAATGCTTTTTTCTATGCATCACACCAAATAATCTGCACTGAATAAAATAATCAATAACTTTAAGCATGCAGTTTGCAAAACATAGAAGACATGCAGTTTAGAGGAGAAAGGCCAACCTTATAAACATTCACCCTAACTTGTGTTTAGAAGCATCAAGGTCTTCAGTTTTAACCTTTTACTAATTTTGTTTTGCTTAAACTGGCATTGTTTAGAAAGAGTTGATAACCATTTCTAGTTTTATTTTAAACTCAGAGTAATGGCATTTAAAATACTTTACTACATCTGAAGAAAGTGAGGAATGCACTGAATACAAGCTGAAACAAATTCTTCCCAGATCTCCAAATCATCAGCTCTGCCCTTCAGAGACTGTTCGAGTAACCCTATCCAGCTCTGCTTGGTTAACAGCTGCCCTACAGTGCTAGCAGATTTACTGAAAAGATATATTGCTTATTTTTATTCTTAAGAAAGTAAACTTATCTAGTTGGGGGGAACACACTAGAAAATCACAGTTTTTAACCTTCAGATGGCCACACTGTAAATTAACAGCATCTTACACTGAAAAGATGACTTCTGCACAGTAATCCACTAAACCTTGTTTGCTGCTTTTCAGTGAGAATTTCCAGATGATGACTGGAACCAAAGTACCATAAATTATCATAAATCTAAAATTTATAATAAACTATTTTAAACATTTCTGATAATGTTATGGTCCAAAAAAATAGGCTATTAAGAATCTTCACTTTCCCTTTTAGACTCTCGAGCTTCTGCACACACTAAGTAATAGTGATTCAGGAGTTTTAGAAAGATAGTTTTTGCTCATTTTTCTGTAGATCTATGAGGCTCTAAAAATACTAGCTAAAATTTCCAAACCATGTGTTTTAATTATTTGCATATTTCAGGATTTCAAGTAAAAGTGATTTTATGATCTAAAGAACCGAAAAAATTCCCTGCATATACATAGATAGATCAACAGATTGATAGACATGTAGATTCTGCTCAGGATATATGTCATAAAGAAGTCATAAATCAGTAAATAAATTAGAAAGAAAAATATTCTTTTTTTTTTTTTTTTTCTTTGAGACACAGTCTCATTTCACCACCCAGGCTAGGATACAGTGGCGCCATCTCAGTTTACTGCAACTTCCGCCTCCCAAGTTCAAGCAATTCTCCTGCCTCAGCTTTCCAAGTAGCTGGGATTACAGGAGTGCGCCACCATGCCTAGTAAATTTTTGTTAGTAGAGATGGGGTTTTGCCATTTTGGCCAGGCTGGTCTCAAACTCCTGACCTCGAGTGATCCACCCACCTCGGCCTCCTAAAGTGCTGGGATTACAGGTATAAGCCACGGTACCTGGTCATAAATATTCTTAAAATGGACCAAAATACTCGCATGAAGGAAAAAAAGTATACTTGCTTTGTTTTACATCAAATGACATACTTTGAACATTTCAAAGAAGTAAATGTGTTCAGTCTAGTGGAAAGCAATATGGCAAGATTTCTTAAAAGTCCCCAAAATGGGTTGTCTAATCAAATTTAGTGTGATGGGGCAAATTGTTTTCTGTTTTGTTTTTTACAGTAAAACAATGGTCTATTTAAAAATACAAGTTTTAAAAGTATAACGAAAACAATCAAAAAACAGTTCAAGAAACTTGGTTTTGTACAACAATAATGTTATTGATTAATCACTTACTGATTCTACTGTAGTCAATGAAAATGGAAGGGTTTTGTTTAAGTTTTATTTGGTTTGTTTGTTTTTTGAGACAGGCTTTCCCTCTGTTGCCCAGGCTGGAGTTCACTGGTACGATCATGGTTCACTGCAGCCTCAACCTCCAGGGATCAAGTGATCCTCCCACCTCAGCCTCCTGAGTAGCTGGGACTACAGGTTCGGGCCACCATGCCTGGCTAATTTTTTTTTTTTTAAATTGTAGAGACAAGATCTTGCTACGTTGCCTGGCTAGTGAAAATGCTAGTTTTGAATCAAACATTCAGAAGAGGGGAGATGTATATTTAGGTATAACACATTAATTGTGTTAATTATTAACTTCAGATTAGTATCTATGGGGCTCTCAACTTAGGTTGGAGAAGTTTTTAGAAAAATAATACGCTTTCACAAAGCCAGGGGAATCTAAATACCACTCAGTGATTGGCTTATTGTACCACAGACAACTGCAGGACCACATCTCCTCAAAAGGATGTATTTTAAATTAGTTAGTTTTTTTGTTGTTAATGTTGCTAATATTTTGTTTGTCTGTCTGTTTTACTACCCCAAAAAATGTCAAGTGGGCTATATTTGACCATATGCTGCACACTTAAAAATGAACATATTTTGGGACTTTTCTAAAAGTAGTCTCAAAGGGGATAAACCTGACTACAGCTATTCATTATCATCTATTTAAGATACATGCAATAGAAATATTTTCTCCCAAACAGAAAAATATGCTTAAGTACATACAAAATAAACAATAAATATATTTAGCAATAATTTAATGCCGAAGAAATTGGCAATATATTAATTAGTATTGAATTTCCTTTTAGTTACTAAAAATGTAAAATATTATAAATTTATTTATCTGTTTAGATTGTGCACTACCATTATCAACATTTCTTGACGTTCCTGAGGAGACACGCTATAACTTAAGCCGGGTTACTGGAGCAAGAGCCTCTCTATTCATGTTGGTTTTTTTCAATTAATAAACCTTGGTCATAAAGCATCTTGGAACTAACAAACTCCCTGATAAAGTGAAATTTTAAAGTGACGGTATGGGTGGAGGAAGCAATTAAATCATTAAAATAGAAATCACTTATTCACCAAAGATTTCCATGATAGTAATTCCTAAGAAAATCAATTTCTCATCTTATTTGACCAAGATATTCCTCAGCAAGCAAATTTTGAACAGACTCTAGATATTAAAAGGTTAATACTACATGTATTTAAGCTTCTTTTGGGGTCATGTTACATATTCTTGCCATTAGTGTAATTCGGTTTTCCTAATAAAAAATAATTTTACATTAGGCTTTAAATAAGTTTAACATAATAGGTGATAATCTTTTTTGAGTTTGAGGTGGTGATTCCTTAGTTTCTGTCCTGTGACAGAATCAGTGTTAGATAATTCAGCTGTAAATTCTCTTTTTTTATTTTAAAACTTTAATTTTAAGTGGCACATAAATACATGCCTTTCATTTATATAGAATTTTCCTAAGTTCAAAGCTTTAAGAATGCTTTAAAAATTTTTCCAAGTATTTTTCATTAAGAAATAGGAAATTGCTTTTTTCTCTCAATAGTAATCAAATTTAAAATACCAAGTGCCACTCAGGTTAGAAATTTGGTCTGTTAGAATTATCTGTTTTTATGTGGAGGTGGGGAACAATACTTATTTTTGTAACAATATAGACTCTAAAAAAGAACTGATCATATGCATATCCTTACAAATATGCACTCATATAAATCATTTTAATCCTTTAATTTATATGCACTTACCAATACGAAATTCTATTGTCGAGAAAATGCCCAGAATTTCAAAACCAAACAAAAGGTGAAGTAAGAAAGTAAGATTATCTTTCAAAAAAGCTATCAGTAAAGGGGTAAGGTTGGAACAGTTTAAACAACTAAGGAAGAAGTGAAGGTGAAGTTTTCACTGCATGTTCTTAGGGTGGAGTTCTATGGTCTCTGGAAGGAGAACCCTGTTCCTGGCCCAACTCAAATCAGATTGCTTCAAAGAAAAAAAGTAAAAGGATAGGGGCCATCTGGTTCCTCTCAAATGGCTACATAAAGGGGAAACACCTAAGATTTGGATCATTATCCTTTCCTAAACTATACTCAAATAATCATGTAAGCAGCAGATAGCCATAAAGAATTAATATTGCTTGTGACTTCAGACTAATAGTTTGTTTATTCAAATGGGGGTTCTCCTTTGTTATTAACAGGGTCTTTTTTTAAATGCACAGCAATTAGCTTTGGGAACAAAAGAAAGAAGGTAAGCAAAATGTTCTACTTTGCTAGACTCAGCAAACTGGTTGATGTACTAACAGTTCCTATGATGACAACAAATCTCAATTGAACCAATAAACCATTAAACTGTGAACAGAACAATCAACACAGGCAAATTTACCTTCTCACTTTTTTTTTTTTAAGTTTACAATGACCCTCAGGAGAACACCTTGAAAGGTATGTTTTATGTTTTCTTGTGTTTCTTCATTTCTCCAGACCCTCAAGGAAACAGATTTTTGAGGGGTGGAGGTTCTTTTTGCAGGGGAAGACAGATACTCAAAAGGATTAACACTCCAATATTAATACTTTGGATTAGGAGAATTTTATTTTATTGCTATTATTAATTACCTACATGGAGCAAATTAAATGGTCTCTGGATGAATACTATGTAACCTCTGAAGGAATGGTATGAACAAGAAAAATGGTCAGAATAAAATTGTGTTGTATGTTTCACATGTAACACATGCAAAAAAAAAAAAAAAAAAAAAAAAAAGAAAAGAAAAAGAAAAAACCAAAACAAGAAAAAAGATACTCAAGATCATCCTCATATCTTAAAAGTCACTTTTAAAGCCAATTTCTGAAACCCATGTTTCTTGATATTTAATTTAATTAGCAGAAGTAGAATTAACTTAAATGAGTATGCATAGTCCATGAGCAGAATAAACATT